CACACACACACACACCATTTTGCTGGTATATCAGATCAACAAATACTAATTTTAACTAGTATTTTATTATTTTGCTCAAAAATAATTCTTAAACTTTAAAGGGTAGGAAAACCACATCTGGTTGATGAGATGGCTTCTCTAACCTGCCAAACTTAAAATTATTTTGAGGCAGAATGAAGAAGATACTCTTAAAATAAAATAAAATGAACAGACCATTTCTAAGTAAGGGAACATTCATGAAATACAGATTCTTTAATGAGAAATTCTTTGTACATAATCTGGAATTAGGTATAGTCAGAGTTAAATCCCAACTCCTGGACGTGATTCTTTCTGGTGGCTGGAAGCCAGATTAGAAACCATTTATTTATTTATTTCAATTTTACTTAAAGGAAATGAGAAAATGTCCTATCAATTATATACTGAGAGGGATACAAGACCTGTCAACACCATGCTCGGTTTTGACTGTCAGAAGTCTTACTTGTTGGTTCTTGACATTTCAAAACTCTTTGATGGTTTTAAATGTTCATCATGTTATTTTTCTTGAATTGGCTGGTATTCGTAAATAAAACAAAAAACCTAAACTCTTTGCTATGAAGTCTGTTATGACTCTACATGATCCTATGGGGATATATGTCCCATCGGGTTTCCAGTTCTATACATCTTCACAGAAGCAAACTGCAATATAGGTCCCCCCTGGGGCTGTCGGTGCATTTGAACCATTGGCCTTTCAGTTAGCAGAGTAAGCTTGAACCACCAGCCTTTCAGATGGCAGCTGAGCACTTTAAGACAAAGTTAACAAAGCCCCTTTGTGTTGGCAAATTAAAAAAACAAAATAAAACGAAAACATCCTTTGCCAATAATATTAGTTGCAACTTATAACAACCTTATAGGGCAGAAAGGTGCACCCTGGGGTCTCCAAGGTTAGAAATGTTAACAGAAGCAGAGGCTGCATCTTCCTCCTATGGAGCGCAGGGGGGTTCCAACCAAGGGCCTGGAGATTGGTATTCAAGCATTTAACTACTGTCCCAGCAGGGCTCTCTCTGCTGGATTAGTAAATGCAAAGCAACAATTAAAAAACCAACCAAACTCTCTACCATTGCATCTACCTGATCCATGGGGACCCGATCTTGTTTCTGAGGATGAAATCCCTCAGAGACAGACTGCCAACCTGCTGGCGGGTTTGAGCAGCCCCTTTCAGTTAGCACTCAAGTGCGTAACAACTGAAAGACTGGGGCTCCAGTATCAGTCCCAACCAAACTTACTGGTACCAAGTCGAAGCCAACTCATAGCGACCCTATAGGACAGTATCGAACCACCCCTTGGAGTTTCCAAGAGGGTAACTCTTTTCAAGCGCAGAAAGCTTCATCTCTCTCCTGAGGAGCAGTTGAAAATATCCCCCAAACCTGAAAGAATTTTGAGTGAATGTCATTGACAGACCATGCTTTTAATTCACTTAAAAGAAAAGAAGTATCAAAGTAACAAATAGTGCTCCAGGAACATGTTGAAACACAGTTATCAGGTCCTTCAGTGGTGCTGTGTGTGGGCTATGGAGCTTGAGAGGGCTCACGAGGGAAGGATGAGCCATGGAGCATTAAAAGCTGTAAAGTCCCGGGTCCTCAAAACAACATCGCACCAAGTGCTCTGGCCTCTTTGACCTGTTTCTACGACTAAATTTAGCATTCTCTACCACGTGATCCTTGTTTTTCATCTCTGTATGTCTGAGTCCACAATCGCTTTCTCCTTTCCGTTTTCTAGTCCTCACGCAGGTGCACTCCACAGCAGCCTTGCCACCTACACTGTCTAGCCATTTATTGCTATTACAGCTCTTCCTCATTTCAGTTTTTACCTAAATTCTGTGAACCCTTGGCTTCTTGGGAAACCACGACCATTTGACTTATGGCTGCTGTCTTCCCCAAACTTTTAAGGGCAGCTATAGGGGCTTTCCGTAAGAGGACTTTTGCTGATCCCTCCTGGATCTTAGTAATTATAAAACCATAAAGTATTATTAAAATAAGCCCATCAAGTTCTGACATGCTTCTGATTTCATCGTGTTTACTATTTTTAAAGGTCCTATATTCTCTGTGATTTGGCTCTCATTACAACAGGGTGTTACTAATCTTGCTCTGGAGCAAGAACACTCAAAGTGTTCACCAGACATTTGGAGCCTGCTCTGCAGGCCAGACTATCCATACTCTTGAGAATTGATTTTACTTTAGTGTAAGCAAGGCTGAGCCATAGCATTTTGTTCCCTGCCTTAAATTAAGGGAAAAAAGGACAAATGCTATCATTTTCTAAAAATTCATCTATTTAGGCAATGATTTCAGCAATTCATGGCCTTAATCCTCTAAATCCTTTTAATGTCCTTCTACATAGCCATACTGTATTATACTGGAATCCAGTTATTTGTATAAAATGCCTACACCCTCTAGTTAGTTTATTATCTTAATGTTCATTTATGGAGAAGCTATAGTGATAACCCCGATGAAAAGGCCTGGGATAACCGCCTCCTGAAAGATCCTACAGGACAGTAAGGAAGGCAAACACAGCTAAAGAATTGAAAGGAATGTAATAAGGACTATTAAAAAAACCCACTGCCATCCAGTCCATTCCAAGTCTTAGCGACCCTGTAGGACAGGGAAGAAGTGGTCCTGTGGGTTTCGGAGATTTTCACTCCATATGAGAGTAGAAACCCTTGTCTTTCTCCTGTGAACTACTAGAGCTAACCTTTTCTGAAACATTTGAGTAAGTGGCAGGCACGGAGCCCTTTGACTTTTCAGTCATATTGTAAGACATCATGCCTTCCTATTGCACTAGCTTAAAAAAATTATTTTTTCAATTTCTGAATTAGTGCCTTCTCTCTCCAAGCGAAGAAGATGATATTTCGCATCTCTAAAATCCAGTTTGTGTTCATTTCCTTGAATGGTCCATAAGGAAAACGATCTTATGAGGTAAATATGGAATTACCAAGAGGTTCAGCGGCTTGTATTGTGCCACCACTTGAAGAAAACTGCATCTGTGAGGATGCTGATGTGTAGTTAGGTGGTGTCAGTCAGCTCCAACGCACGGACACCGCCGTACAACACAATGAAGCATCGCCCCGCCCTGTACTGTCCTCACAACTGTTCTTCTTGAGGTCTCCCTTTCTCACTGACCCTCTTTTGTGACCAAGCACCATGTCCTTTACCAGGGACTGGGCTCTCCTGATAACATGCCCAAAGTACATGAGATGAGTTCCCCATCCTAAGGAGCATTCTGCTGTATCTTTTCCAAGACAGATTTGTTTGTTCTTTTGGCAGCCCAGGTTCTTTCTTTTAAAAAAAAAAAATTTTGGTGGTACTTTCAATATTCTTCATCAGCACCATAATTCATCTACTCTTTTTCTTCTTCTTCTTTATTCAATATCCAGCATTCACATGCATATGAGGCAACTTAAAATACCATGGCTTCAGTCAGGCACACCTTAGTCCTCAAAGTAACATCCTTACTTTCCAGCACGTTAAAGAGGTCTGGTACAGCAGTTTTACCCAATGCAATGAATAGTTTGATCTTTTTTTTAAACGAATCATTTTATTGGGGGATCTTACAGCTCCTATAACACTCCATATATCAATTGTATCAAGCATATTTGTACATGTTGCCTCATCATTTCCAAAACATTTTCTACTTGAACCCTTGGTATAAGCTCCTCTTTATCCCTCTCCCTCCCAAATCATTGATCAATTATATATTGCTATTATTATTTTGTATCTTACACTGTCCATGTCTCCCTTCACCCACATTTCTGCTATTTGTCTCTAACCTGTGATGGGTTCCCCCTTTCTCCCCACCCCCCTGCCCTCATGATATCACTATTCCCACTACTGTTCCTGAGGGTTTATCTGTTGTCAATTCCATGTATTGAGAGCTCTTATCCTTACCAATGTGTTTTCTCTGGTCTAGCCAGATTTGTAAGGTAGAACTGGGTCATGGTAGTGGGGATTGGGGAGAAGGAAACATTCATGAACTAGAGGAATGATGTTTCATTGGTGCTATACTGCACCTTTGTTGAATCATCCCTTCCTTATAACCCTTCTGTGGGGGGGGATATCCAATTATCCACAGATGGGCTATCAGTCTCCACTC